TGCTGCTGCCCATCTCCTGCTTAACTTACAGTTCACCTAGAGCTTGTGCATGCTAGCCCTAGTTTACCCACCTGAATAACAGTTACCTTTCACCTAATCTAATTGCACCTGGCAGGGTCAGAATAGGGCTAGCAACTAATTCTTCCTCTTCTTAATCTTCAGATCAGGTGTATCCATAAGGCCTTGACCATAACACCTCTTTGCCTATGGCATCCACAGCCCCACTAATTGAGGGCAGTTGCTTTTGTTGACGCCTGAAAGTAACCTACTGTCTTTGTGGTGAAATCCCTTCCCCACCTCTCAGTCACCAGGCCCTTGCTCTTAGTTGTACAGTCACTCTTCAATTAGCTCTGCTGTTTTATGGAGGTGTGGGCCTACTGGTTCAACCAGAAGTTGAAGACAGAAGTTTTGCCTGTTTGTGTTCTAGAGAGAAAACTATCATTGCACCAGCAGCTCCTTTGCTATAGATAACAGAATGTCTTTTTTGTACAGATGGCAATATACTAAAGGCATGGAAAGAGGAAAGGAATACATTCAGTTCCACGAGTTACCCCTCATGAGCTGAATCACAGTGACTGACCTTGTTTGCCTCTTACCATCTTACAAATTCACAGCATCACCTTAAACCCACCAGTGCCAGTTACTGCTGGGTAACCTGATCAGTTGTGACATTTCTGTCTGTGCCCTACATTATGCAACTCAACAACTGTGCAATTAATTCGATAGCTACCTGGGGAACCTGCTCCCAGCTCCTGAGCTTTGATCCGTGCTTTGGGGTTTGTTACGTAGTTTCACTCATGAGCACTGAAGTGAATAATCTGGATACTTTTAAAGAAAGTACTTGCTCAACAAAAGCTGCGCATTCTGGAACATTCGCTTGGGATTTGAAACGAGATCTTGGAAAGGAAAAAGTGACTTACAATTTCAGATACCAGTGACATTGATAATGTTGATCTAAAAAGACAGTCAGAGACAACTTGAATCACCCACTTGCCCTACTATTATCTGATCTTGCATCTATTTCCTTCTGAGGGTCTTTTTGAGCGAACAGATGGGTATGAATTACCAATAAACTGCTGTGGTGACACACATACCGCACCTTTGGCCTCTCACGCAGATCACTAACAGCCCTGGCTTCCTGCAGACAGTGCGTAAACCACCCCTTGGTCACATAAGGGTTGCAAAGCCCAGTCCTTACCTTCTCCTGGTACTGACGCCGCGAGGAGTCCAGAGACTGGATTAGGGCTGTGGCATGGCCGATGAACATGGCATAGCAGGTGGCACCGACAATCATGCTCAGCATAGTGAGCCACACATCTGACATGCCAACGGGCGCCTGCTGCCCATACCCAATGCAGAGCATGTGGCTCATTGCCTTGAACAGCGCATAGGAATACTGCTTCCCCCAGGAGTCATTCTAAAGAGACAGATAGACAGACAAAGCTTTAGCAGTGGGACAAGACATTCTCTGAGCTGAACACATTTCAGAAAAGGACAGCTAACATTAGCCCCAAAAGTCCATGTTTGAAGCACCTCTATATATTAAACAAGCAATTTAATTCTTCAGTGGCTTGGAAGTGCTGGGCACACTTGATTATGATTAAAAAAAAAAAAAAAGCCTAAATTTAGTCATCTGACATTAACTGACTTTGGCCAGGGTTTGTACAGCTTCCATGTACTCTTTCCAGCAAAACTTTCCAGAAAGGAAGCCAGACAGTCTGACACACTAGTAACCTGGGATAAACTGAGATGATGCACTGGGTTATTTTCACAATGACCTACATGTGTGAAAAGGAATTGAGGCAAATGATTACTCCAATGGGAAATGGGCTTTAACAGAGAAGTTGTGAAAGACAGCCCGAGCAAGGCTGCCAGCAGCAAGATCTTAGAGTGGGGAAAATCACTCCCCAGCAATTTAGGAAATGGTCAAGATCTCTGGTCATTACCTGAAGAGATGGGAAGGGCAGAAAATTAGGAAAATAATGTCCAGACAGCAAGTACTTCTCAGTTTATAACAGGGTTTTTTCAGGGAGCTGAGAAAACTACAAATGGCCTCATTTGAGAGATGCAATAAACGACCATGAGAAGCCAGCTGAAGTCAACGGCTTCTTCTGGACACCTTGTGCTCTCCCACTGTAACTAACACAAGAAGCACCTGAGCAATTACATCATGGGAAAGGGGGAAAAAAACAGCATGAGTTTCAGGATTATTCTGATTAGCTTGAATTCATGGAACAGCTCAAGGTACATTTACTATCCTGTGGGTATTATACACTAGCAAGTCCTTGCCACAAAACCTTGTAAAGTAAATGCACTGTCATCACACATTGCTATTACAAGGTATGTGAAAAAATACCTCTGCTACAGTGACATTCATAGCAGCACATAATCTGTACATTCATCCATCTCCTTTCTGTTCCTAGGAAGATGTTAACATCAAGGATATAGCTGTGCAGACACATATACCATGGCAACTTCGAAGGTCATTGCACAGGCGGCCTGGATTGTGGTTTGTCAAACAGAAGCAATACTTTTGTGAACTCCACTCAGAGAGATGCAGCAGCCCCAGCAGCAGTGACCAGTAATGCTGGGGTTTACTGGACACCTCCTTGGAAGTACCTAGTCCCAGTCAGATGGACTGCTGATGACCTCTCTGCAAACAGCTCTCTGAGTGTCACTAATGTTGATGGAAATTTTTCAGTAAGCTTTCAAGTAGTAAACAGAAGCAAAGCGTACTGTTGCTGTTTGTGAGCTGTGGCAAAGAGCTGGAACCTCTGGAGAGTGTTAATGCTTGGTTAGGAGATAAGCACATGGACAAAGACAGACGATAGCATTACTCTGGCCATATTCAGTTACATTATGCAAGACAGGCCTGATTCACACCACAACAAGAAGGGCAAAGCAACAGAAGTGACAGCGAAGCGGACACAGAAGAAGCAGCACATTCACAGCCCCAGAAGAAACTGCTCCCTGCTGGCGCCAGCCTGTCTGGGCTCACCTCCTGAACAAAGCAGGAACCTGTCCACCTCCTGCGCTGGAAAAATCTACCCTTGAGTCAAGAGTGAGAGACCAGAGACATGGCCATTGGTGTCTATTTCTGGCTATGCAATGTGTGAGAAGCCACAGCCCAAAGGGGAGCCAGCTACAGATGAAGGCAAAGAGCATTTGCACTATGCTGCCTATACAGTGCAGCAGGAAGGATCTGACCAGGGGAGTGCCTGAGGTGTTATCACCAAAGGAGTGAATCTGCCTGCTCCTTTGCCTCACCCATGTCTATGCTGTGGCTCCTAAAATCCTGGACTAAAAAGTGGGGAGGTGGCATTTTTCCACCACCCAGGTTTTGTGTCATTTTGCAGACCCACTTCTGATCTGTGAAGGTGTCAAGCATCTCACACAACTTACACAGGCATCCCTGCATCTTCAACTGTTAACATTTCCAGGACCCACAGTCCTTTTCCCTCAGCCCTGTAGCACTAGCACACATAAATCCATGGCCCCTGCACTTACAGAATGGCAAATGCAGTAAACTCTAGGGCTTTAGCCCATCTACTGTCCATGCTTCAGCAGGGAAGTCATCATCCTGAGACAACAGGCAGGAGCAGTCACACTTGAACAACCTTTGCTTAAAATGGTGCATCACCTGTAAAGGTGGGCAGCACGTTCACAGCTTTACTGGGCCAGAGGCAGTAGTGCAGGTGTCCCATCCCATCCTTTCCTTGTTAAACAAATTCCTTGCCCATGCAGGCATTTCTCAGTGGACACTGCAGAAATGCTGCAGCCTTCTGAGTTCAGAGTGGTAGTACATCTCCACACCAGAATTGAGAACAGGAAGAACAGAAATGCAAATCTGAAATTCCAAGGGGAATTTGGAGAGACAGAGTTAAGAATAGCTGAACTGGAATTTGATATATCAGGAGACTGGCTGCCAGGGTCTTTAATGGCCATGAATGTTTAGAGCCTAAGAGGAACATCTGGGTATCAGGCAGGTTCAAGTTTTAAAAGCCATTCTTCCAGCAACTTGCGCTCAGGAGTGCTGTTTACGAGGAAGCTTGACAGTGTTTTGTAGGAATTAGTCATCCAAAACTACAACATCCAACACCACTGAGCCCCCGCAGCCTGCAGAAACACTTCTGGCTCCCTGGGAACTCTAGACTTACAAGTCACAACCCCAATTCCCATCAGCAGCACGGCTCCCTGTGAGGACAGCCTGCTTCGTGCCAGACTGAGGAGATCGCTGAGTAATGACAGACTGAGGGGCGAGAGCTGGAGGAAAACACCGAGTGTTTAAAAAACAATCCTGCGCAATGTGGTCTGCTGGGAGAAGAGATCAAGGACTGCTGAAAGAGAGGCACTTCCATGAAGGGGAAACCTTTCAGAGCAATTACCTTTAGGACACAATCTCTGAGCTCTTTGAGCATCTGTAAAGAGCACTGGTTCTATGGCTGGATCCATAGTCTATGTGATGACTCTGCTTATAGATCTCAGTATATCTTTAGTTTTAGGCCTGCTCTACACTCTTCTGTTTTCCACAGAGTAAGCAGGCAGGTCAAGAATGCAGTACTTCAAGCCAGACTAGTAGTAGTGGCTCTAAATGTATTGTGGACACAAGTTTGCTAACATCACAGTACCTTATCCTGATCCAGCTTGTTTCCGTAAGAGCCATAGCCCTATACTCCATACCACTATGCCAGTCCCCACAGTGGGAGGGTTGTACTACCTCAAATATACTGGAGTGGCTAAAATGGCCCATTAGGGTAGGTAAATGAGGCCTTAAACTGCAGAAAGAAAATGACTCCTCGTTAACCAAATCTCAAAGCAAGCTAAAATGGAGCTACAGATCTGTGCTTGAACATAGTCAAGGGGGATGTTATCTCAGACACACGCCAGGCACTAAGAGCATTTGCAAAAGGGAGTTGGAATTACTTTGAAGCAGTTCCTCAGACTAGCTTGTTTTTAACATCCACACTGGCAGCACTACAAGGGTTTCTCTGCGATTAGTGTCTGGACTGCAATGTCTCTGCTCAGATCCACCCTTGAATACTTGGAGACACATTCCTGAAACTCTTCAAAGGCAGTGTTGGGTTCTGTAATACCTTACAGAAGTACCTAAAGAAACAGTATGATGTCTTATAGGATGTTCGGGGTCTGATGTACATGTGAGTGTACCTGGAAAAGACTGGAGAGAGAAGTAAAGACAAATTCTTGGGGTAGGGGCATAGTCCATGGGAACAGTGTTATGCCTGACTTACACCACTAGCATTTCACAGTATTAAGGAGATGTCGGTAGTGAAAGGGTGTATTTCAATCTTGTGAACTCCGGGATTTGTCTCAGCAGTGATCATCTTACCTGGCCACGAAGTTATTACTTGGGGTTTGCTGCTGCACACCACCTGTCAAGCTGCAAAATAAGGCCTCTGAACATAGTTTCCCTCCCCTGGACAACACTGTAACTGCCCCAATTGCCCCAGTCAGTCTTGCCTGGGACCCCTACCCATGCACTCGTTGCTCCTGGAGCTCCATTTCAGCACAAGCCTGGGCACCCAGACCTTGCCTGAGCCAGCTGTACCTGTGCCCAGCCCTGGGCCCTGAACATCTGCTTTAGCCTGTTTCCAGCCTTGCCTCTGCTCCATCTCTTGCTGCTCCTGACTGGACTCCCTAGGTAGACCCTGGACATGACTGTCACCCTGCCTTTGCTGGAACAGTCAGTGAACACTCCTATCACCACCTCTTCTGCTTTGCCCACCCTGTTTCGGACCCGTAGAACTGTGCCCTAGCTGGTGAGGGCACTGCCTGTGCAGAGGTCACCCTTGGCTCCTGGGTCATATCCCATCATGGAGCGGCCCTACTCTTGCTGCTCGCTGACAGTTTTTATAAAACATGGTAATCTACTACACAGCTTCATATGCCTGCTGAGTGAGGGTAGGAGTCTGTTGGACCACAGACTTGGGGGAAATCAGGAATCACACAGGAGATCTATGCAGGATTGCTTTGTCTTCCACAACACCTTCTGCATCCATTTCCCTTCCTCCTTTCTATCAGCAACACTACAAGAATGTGTTGGGGGCAGGGGGGTGGGGGTTTAAGCTCAGAAGGAAAGTACTCTCCTTCTTTTGGTAGAAGGGAAGATGATTAGTATTTCCTATGCAAGGTTGCTGCTTTTGACATGGGGATATTTGCCTTCCCTGCAGCGTTTATCAGTTCAGCACAATACCCAAGGGAGCCAGCCATGTGTTTCCAGCAGCTTTCAGGTCTCAGCAGAGCTCAGATTTCTCTGATGAGGAGCTGCCAGGCAAGGGTCTAGGGGAGACACTGCTGCCCACACACATGCCGCCCTGCAGCTGACTCCCTAGCTTTTCTCTTTTTAATAAAGTGCCCTGTAGGGAAGCTAATGCTGAAGCCTGTGGGATTGGGACTGAGCAATTAATACTGAAAACAACCTTCCCTGCCAGTTCAGAAAGAAATCATACAGAGACTCACTGCTTCTACAACTGCTAAAGATGAAACATGGTGCATGTACCAAACACCAAGATGAATTGGACCCAGGGATTTATCGAGCCCCTGATATGATTTTGGCAACACCAGACCCTTCACAGATCCTCTGGAAGAGGATCAAACCTTCAGGAAGCAGATGGAAGGTGATGAATCTTCTTTCCCTGCTGCATCGGAATCAGAGTCGGTTTTATGGACTGCCAAGTGGCTAGGTGGGAAACCCCAGAGCGGCGGAAGAGCAGCACCAGCATACTCAACGAGAAAGCCTCCCAAGCATTTGGCACCTCATTTTCAGCTCCTCTTAGCTGCAGCAGCTTCAGAAGATTCCCTTTTTTAATACAGTGGTTTTATCCCAGCTTTTTGGCTCCTGTGTGTAATCAGGGCAGTCGTGCTCCAAGTATATTTATCGCCTCAAAGCTGTGACCAGGTCAGTACAAAATGTCCCAAAATCCAACCTACTGACTCTTTGTCACAGACAGATGCCATCCTGGTCTCCCACCTCCCAACCTTGTCCATCACAGCTCTCAAACAGAGCCATTCTGAAAACTACCACCAAGATCATGGCACCAAAGCCTGAGAACAGCCCAGACCACCAGTTTCTTGTTGTTTCCTGACTTAGTGGCCTCTCCTATTATTTCACTATAGACTATACATAAATTCTAGCACTGATCATGCCATCCACGTCCATCACTGTTCCCAATGACACATCTGGAAATCTCAGGACACTATGGGAGAGCATCTTATTGTGAGAAGAAACTATCTGATTCCAGAAGAACTAATTATTCTCTTTGTTAAATGTTCTAAAACCAAGGTATTTGGGGGCTGGCATATTACTGCCCACTTTCTGGAGTGGAAGCCACCTGAACTATAGGTGGGACATATAAGCATCCCTCCAGTTCTTCATCCCAGTTTCCTGAGGCTCCATTTCTGAGACAGTCACTGTGATGGTAACCTTTTTGCACTATTATTAAGTGGAAAAACTGAAAGTGATCTAGCGGCAGAGGAAAAGTGGAAAAAATCACACAAGGCAAGTTTAATTCCCAGGTTCACAGGCTCTCAAGGCTGGGAAGACAAGTACTGCAGCATGAGTCTTTGCCTGGTAAAGCTCTGCTCTGAGTAGAAACTGAGAGGGTAGTTTCCCTCCTGGACACTGCTGAGCCCTCTTGCCTATGGGATGCATCCTTTCCCCCTTCCTCAGTCTTGCTGCCAAGAAAGGTGCCTAGGCTAAATCCCCCGGCCTTTCTCCTGCTACCTTTCAAGACCCTATCCCTTCAATACATGGTTACATTGATGGTCATTTATAGGCTCTGACCACAGTCTGGCCCAGGTAACTCTTTTTCTAGAGTATATAAATTTAGCTTTGTTTCCCTCCTCACCAGGCTCTGATCCCAATATGTTTGCAGCTCTTTGTTCCACTGGGTTACACAAGTGGGTTTTTTGCTTTACAGCCTCTGAGAGAAAAGTATCCAAGAGCCAATTTGCATTAGCTTATGCCATGTATTTGAGCAACCTCCTCAGTACCACCCCAGGTCTCTCAGACTGTTTTACATACCCACCATTACAGTATTTACTTATCCTCAGAAGGATCTGGACAGGGAGAACTCTTTGACCCTCCCATCTGACTTGCCTGGGATCACACAGAACAGTTAGGAACTGAACTCAGGTGTCCCACTTTCAGTCAATGCTCCAGCCACTGAATTTACCTTCTCTCACCATGTGTGTTTGCCATTGCTGGTTACTGCCTTCTGTGAAGGTCTTCCATGAACCAGTTACCAGGAGACCTCGTTGTTTTGACTCTTCAGGTCACTTTGCAGCTCATGTTGCAGCTCTCATCTGCTGGCCTTTGAGCCAAGTATGCTACTCACACTCGTATCTCTGCAACCCTAGCTTTTACCTCTTCTCCCAAGGTTGGACAGGAAAAGCAAATAGAAATTGTTGCCATCAGACAGCAGCCTCCACCCAAATGTTCGGATGAAGGAAACACGGTTCAAATCTCCTGCTCTGAAGCTGTCCTGCAAGAGCACCATGGCCAAGTCACTTCATCGGATGAGGATGGTTTCTGCCTGCTCACTGTGCTCTCCAGGATGAGAAGCTGTATGCTCTTTTGAACCTGAATAGCACAAGCACAATGAGGCCCTGATCTCTCATTGCTCCTGCCATATAAATAATAAAAAGGCAGCATGGGGGAAGATAAGGCAGCTGCTGCACTGATTGTTCTTCTGTTGTAGATAAATAAAGGGTTCTGGTCTCCAGAGCTGTCAGTCTGGCACCTTTCAACAGCAGGAAGTGAATGATTATTGCAGAGGGAAGAAATGAATAAATAAACACCAAACAGACGACTTTTTCATGGATGCTCACTCTTCTCAGGCATGGGCAGCATTTGCCCACAGCTCTGCATGTGGGAGGCATGGCAAGTTGGCAGTTCTTTTATACATTTTACATTTGTTCTGTTCTGCCTGAGTGCCTGATTATTATTTTTTTAAGAAGAAATTGGCTGGGGGAATCTGGAGGTTAAGAGCTGCAATAAGAGGCGATTTTTTAAGCTTTGTCAGTTTTTGCTGCTTAATCAACTGGACATTGTCCCTTTGAATAAAAGATCCTGAATTCTCAGCGAGATGGTTGAAAGGTACCATGAACTCCCCGTGCAATTTACCATATGGTATAAATCTCCCTCACAGCAAACAGCAGAGTGAACAGCACAGCTTGGGACATTACTGGAAAGTCTGGCCACTGATCCCATGATGGGAGGCTGAACTAGGGCTTGGCAGCCTCTGTTTTCAGCCCACTCTAATGGGATATTGTGCAGCTCCCAAGGAAGAAGGGTGGGTGATCACATTGTCCCTTCAAGTGGATATGGAGCAGAAGGCTTAATGGTTTCACTGGGACCAGTAATGGGAGTTATGGATTAGACCCAGCTATGGCTCTAGGACCCCCACCGCACCCAGTCTTTGGCGCAGTGTGCCCATATCACAGCGGATACGCGTTTCCATTCTTGCTCTCTGCTGTTTCCTGCCAGGAGGGGGAGCCTGGCTCCTGCCTTCTGCTGCAGGCAGCCGGCAGCAGGCTCTGCTGGGGCTGGTTCTTGCTCCGCAGGGCTGAGACCATCTCCTTGCAGAGACTGCCCCCGAGGAGCTTCCGTGCCCACAAGTGCTGTGGCTTTACATGGTCTGCTGGATAGTGGAGGAAGGCCCTAAATGGAGTTGGGGGGAAATAGGAAGCTGGGAGATGCCATATTAGTGCCAGGAGGTCAATGCTGAAATGGTGATGCTGTGACTGAGGGCCCGGGTTTAGGGCCAAGACGGAGAAAGCAGGGCAGGCACTTACCACCATGCGGTTGAGGGACACCCAGCAGTCGTCGGGGAAGTCCTGCAGCATAGGCACAAGGAACTGGAGGCAGCCATCCCAGTGACACAGCAGCAGCATCATCCCAATCAGGTTCACAATCCGCACCACTGCACTGGCCAGATCATAGGTCATGTGGAAGATCTGCAGGGCCAATGGGGAGCAGATTAGATGGCAGTTCCCCAAACAACCAACCCAACATAATTAGATGCACCATCAGGGTCAAGAACCTTGCTAAAGTAACAGAAAAGGCTGCATCAGCTCAGCTCAGGTCAGTCACAGAATGCAAGCAGAACCAGCTGAAAAGCAGATTAAAAACAGATAACCATTCACCCCTCATGCTCTTTGATTTTGTCTTCTAATTTATATTAAAAGCTCCATAACTCATTTTATAAAACAAGTTGGTTGCAAATATTTCTGGAACATCAGCCACTCCTCAGAAATAAACTCCATCATTACAACTTTTTAACTGCAATGCCTTTCTTTGGTTTTTGCCTTGCTGAATATATACTACAGACTGACCCATGGTGGAAGCTGTCTTTGTACTGGATGTCAGATGCAATCTCTGCAAGCGTCAGATGCAAGAAAGAATGGCCTCAAACTCAGCAGAGACTTCTAGAAGAGGATTTGATTCAACCATTTTCTCATATTTCTCATATTTTGCTGCTATATCACTTCCAGTCTTACGTGAAGGCGGTCAAGGAAAAGAGAAGCACGGCAGAGCTGTAGAGCAGTTCTTAGCAAGGAAGCCCAGAAACCTGTAAACAGGCAAGAGCAACCCCACCTCTGCAGTCAGCTCTCCAATGCAAAGGGTGTCTACGGCTGTGTTGTCCGTGGTACTAGACATAAGCAGGGCACACTGAGAAATCCAGGTGCCCTATTATCAAAGGTGCATATTGCAGTCAAGAACTACTTGATGGACATTATTTTTTTCCTATGGGTGGTGTCTTGTGGAGACATTGGGGGTGCTTGGTTCTTTTATGCCCAGCTTTGTGATGACAGTTAGACATAGGGCATGCCAGCAACTGCTATCCTGAGCTACATATCTGCCCAGGTTTGGTTTTCCCTACCTTACAACATGTCACACTCTGGAGTGCATGGTTGGCTTTGTGTGGCTCAACACGGAGCCCATCTTCTGGCCTCTTTTGCCATTAATACAGACAAGAGGAGACCTTCAAATTGTCACTGGGCAATGACCTGTACCCAGTAAGGACCATACACTTAGTCCTCACAGTGTGCTGGCTTCCAGCTAAAGCTGCCTACTGCATCACCCAGAAAACAGAGAACCCAAACACATCTGGCATCCTCTCCCACACACTGCTGTGTCACCATGGTAATTTGTGGCAGCGTCGGTATGGATGGAGGCCTCACAGCCATGCCCCAGCCCTGCCAATGTGTCCAGCCCTACAGCCTTGTCTGGAGAAATGTTAATCACTGCTCCCCACACAGGGTCTTGCTGCTTCTGGTACAGGAGGAGTGACATATTTGGACAGCTCTGTGTGAATGAAATGAAGAGACTCACTGCTGTCAGTGCCATAGCTGGGCCTTCTCAGGAGGCCTCCCCATGAAGGCACACACAGCCTGGCTGTTTTGCAGCCCAGCTCACAATCTGGTGACACATGTCCTAGTTGGATTTAATGGAAGGGAACAAAAAGCAGAGGAATGTGAGGAGCAAGTAGGACTTCTGTGAATCAGATGAGGCTGCATGCTCTATTCCTGCATTTTCACCCTCCCCTGTAGGATGGTACTCCCTTCCAAGGTGTATTTCAATCAGGTATATTTCATCCAAATCTGGCTGAATCAGCTTGAAGTTTCCCACGGAGCTTGTTTACCCCACACTGCAGCCCCTCTCTCAGCGCTGGGCTCCCCAACAGTCCTGCCACAACCCCTCCACTCCAGCCCACTGCCTCTCTGCTATGTCACCTGCAGAGTCCCCTTCCATTGCTCTCCTCTTGCACCTCGGCCCTGCTTGGCTGCTCCAGCCCTGTCTGCTCACACTTGCTGTTTTCTGACCTGCCACATTACAGTGTGACTCCCAGTGCTGTTGTAAAGCTGACCTCCAAGTGAGCCACGCAGATCACACAGTGACAGCTATCCAAACTCACCATTTCCTTAGGGATGTAGCAGGATTAACTGTCAGCTCTTCAGATGTAAAATAAACCTGTGAACACAACTTTTTTACAGGGCAACAGGCAGTGGGACAAAAGGCACAGAGACCCTGATACAGGCTTATTTAAGATAGCAAATTAATTTTCAGTTTGCCATGTTAGGAATAAAAAATGACAGCACAGTGACTGAAACTGCAGGGAGAAGCACACCTCATGCTCCTTGAGTGCTAAACACCTTCAAAACCCAGCCTGGGCTCCACCGAGCCTCAGCATAGGAAGATGGGCAAGCAGCGGGTGCTTCAGCTGCCTGGGAATCACCTCCAGATGGGCAGGTGATGACCAAGGAGGATGAATGTCAGGGAAGTATCTGAAGCAGGAGATAGGCCATAGGCATGCTATGTGACTGTATGGCTAAGTCCATATAACTCCTTGCTGCTCTGACAGAGTTAGTCCTGGTTCTCCCAACTACCCATGGCAATTATGTACCTGCCATCTTTGCCTATACAGGGACCAGCCTCCTCTGATCCCACAGTGAGTCAGTTCAAGCAGCTAAAATGGCAGAAAAGTTTTGTTATAAAAGAAAGAAATCATGTTTTGTCAGTTTAGCTGCCTAAATTGGCTCATCACTCTGTTGTCAGAGCTAGCTGTTCAATTTGAATGCCTGTTTCCACACCAGATATTAACAGTTCCCCACCTAATCAGGATGCCACGAGGTCATATGCACTGAGAGATGCTGACATGCTCAATCCAGATGGGGAATGAGCCATAGAATTCTGGAAACCAAAAGGATGAATTATTGGGGGAACTGCTTCTAAACTCCATTATTTCCACTGCATCCAAGATGCAGCTGGAGTCCACAGTGTCAGTATAAGAAAGGCCATTCTAGCAATATTTCTGTGCTGAAAAGAAGAAAATATCCAAAATCCAGCATGAAAGGCTGTTCTAGGAAATCCAGCTATCAATGCTGACTCAATAGGTCAGTATGAAAGCTGAGCACATAATTCATAAAGAATAATTCCTACTGGTTTCACCTTTTTTTTCCATTGTAGAAATGATCATTCTCATTTAGATAACCCAAAGTGAATCCAGCCTATTTGAGTGACAGCCACAGGCTATGCTTTTAATGAAGCCAGAGCAGCAGTTTGCAGAAGGATCTCTCAATGGACCTTTTTTATCGCCAGGGTTTTACTGTGCTAATGACTTTTCCTCTCTCACCTATGTGTGTTTTTCAAAGAATTCCAGCCCTCCTGTAACCCAGGGAACTCCAGCCAGGGACAGGGAGATGCCCTGTCTGATTTAGGAAGTGCCTTTCTTCCTTTACTATATTAAAAGCAGAGAACGAAGAGCCTGAGAGAATGGATGGCTTTGAGGAAAGGTGAATGGATATGGAGGTTCTCATATGATGGCTGGGATCTATTCTAGGCAGGCTAGGGCAGAAAGCCTATTCCTTGGTGCACCTCTGAAAAGCAGGAACAAATGAGTGTGTTTGTTTCTGTTGTTAGGCTCCGCTGCCTCCTCTCATGTACTAGTAACTCACACATTTGCTGGTGGCTGAGAAATGGCAGCTCTGTGCAGAGTACATGTACACCACTAGGTCATCACCCACCACGGAACCCTCCTGTAAGTGTAGGACCCAGTGTTGAAGCACAAAGGGGAGGAGAGTCCTGCCTCTGTATTAACACCAGCGTAGTCCACAGACATACCCAGCACAGAGCTCAGAGATGCCAGGAGCTCAGTGGCCGTGCAGGATTGCACTCCAATGCCCAGCACTGACTAGAAGGAAGGATCACAACTGAGCTGACAAACTTCCCTCACAGGTAGAGACACTATCTGCTTTACACAAGGGTGGGTTCAGCTCACCTACTTTGGACCTTGCGATCTAGACAATATCATTAGAGTCACTGGATTGAAACACACACAGAGAGGGTGACACATGTGGTTTGTGGCACTTGTTTACCTGTGAGGGAGATGCACTACGTCTCAGGAATTCCTGTTTCTCTCTGCTGCCCATAAGGTAAGCCTAGATAATGAACTCCAACTGTAAATGTCTGAACTGCAGGTGAGACAAATCCAATTCCAAATATCAGTCTCAGGAGTTACCAGCTCATGCCCACTCCTTGGAATACATTTGCATTCACATGCAAGAGAAAAATAAGAAACACTCAGTGTGTGGCACACAGGAATAACTGTGAAGGGGTGTGAACAAACACCTTTCACTGAGAAGAAGCTTCTACTGTAAATAGGTGCCTGTGTTGCAGGGAATACTAACTCCAGTACTGTGCTGGAGACTGTCTAAACCTGTGCTGCAGTGCCCTAAAGCACTCTATAGCTTGCCAGGGAGAAGAGAGGAAGAAACATTCTAGAATAGCTGGTCCATGAGCAGAGGAGTGGTAATTGGAATTGTAATTCTCTGGTTTTCATCATTACCACTCAGGGCTTTCTTGTCCTGTTATAACAAAACCCAGGCTGGGTCCCAGAGCATCACACTTCCTTCAGCCCATGGAACTGCTTGTGCTTTCAGGCTTTCTGCTGCCTGTCATTTAGAAAAAGGGAGTGACGAGAAGGACAAAACATGAATTCATGCTTAAAAGAACCTTTTTCCAAGGGTATCCTCTGATAAACCTAATATCCTTGTTTCTTGATTGCCCAAAACAAACTGTGGCTACAGAATCCCTGTTACAAAGTTGGCTCTGTCCTTCTTGCCAAAGGACACCTTGCAATGCTTTCTGAAAGGACAGCTTGGGAAAGTGGGAGGACCAAAACTTTCCTCAACAAAGTCATCTCTAGTTATATAAGAGCTCTATCTTGGAAATCCTGCTTACACAGAACAAGTTATTGGGATCCTATCAGTACGAAGCCGAAATCTTGTCAGCCCCAAATAACTCTGTACAGTACTCCTCAAATGGTTCTGTACTGCAGCAGAACTCTTCTACCCTGACCACTTGACCTGGAAGAAACCAAGGACACCTTGGAGAAGTGGGGGCATGGCTCTGGCAGTGAAACAAGGGCTTTGATGAAATCAAAGCTGTATGTTTA